TTTGTATTTGTCCACTATCATCCCGATCCTGTGTAGATGACTTATCTATAACTGTGTTTTGTATTTGTCCACTAACATCCTGATCCTGTGTAGATGACTTATCTATAACTGTGTTTTGTATTTGTCCACTATCATCCCGATCCTGTGTAGATGACTTATCTATAACTGTGTTTTGTATTTGTCCACTATCATCCTGATCCTGTGTAGATGACTTATCTGTAACTGTGTTTTGTATTTGGCCACTATCATCCCGATCCTGTGTAGATAACTTATCTATAACTGTGTTTTGTATTTGTCCACTATCATCCTGATCCTGTGCAGATGACTTATCTATAACTGCGTCTTGTATTTCTCCACTAACATCCCGATCCTGTGTAGATGACTTATCTATAACTGTGTTTTGTATTTGGCCACTATCATCCAGATCCTGTGTAAATGACTTATCTATAACTGTGTTTTGTATTACTCCACTATCATCCCGATCCTGTATAGGTGACTTATCTATAACTGTATTTTGTATTTGTCCACTATAATTCTGATTCTGTGTAGGTGACTTATCTATAACTATGTTTTGTATTTGTCCACTATTATCCTGATCCTGTGTAGACAGCCTATCTATAACTGTGTTTTGTATTTGTCCACTATCATCCTGATCCCGTGTAGGTGACGTATCTATAACTGTGTTTTGTATTTGTCTGTGATCCTCCTGTACCAGTTCAGTCGTTTCTTCGTTTCCTAATTGTTCAGTGCCTTCCCTCTGGTGTCCAGAAAAGTTAATTATTTCTATGTTATGTAGATGTTCATTATAATGTTGTATCTCGTCAGATGAATTTTCTTCTGCTTTCTTCTGTTGATATTCGTGACCATCTTGTCTGCTTAAAGAACCGTTTTGAAGTTGTCCGTAATCATTATTTATTTCTATAGAAGAATTATTCTGTATTCTGTATTGTTGTTGTTTGTCATCATGATTGTGTGTAAGAGAATTCTCCCTTATTGTGTTTGGCAGTAGTTTGTATTTGTTTGTATTTTGCACTGCATTCTGCTGTTGTTCATCGATCACCTGTCTCTGTGAATAAAATGTTTTATAAGTTATATTGTTCTTTCCTTCGTCCTGGTCACTTTGTCTCTCTACAGATGAATGTTCCCACTGTATGGAATTATAATCATCGTGTTTTTCAGTTGTAGGATTATTATTCAGAATTACTTTTTGTTCATAATAGTTTGGTTCCCGTGTAGAAGATGTACCTTTACTCACTGTAATTTCGTGTTCATATCCATCTCGTCTGTGCATAACAGGATTATTCCTACCTGCATGTTCTTGTTCATAAACATTCTGTCTTGAAGTAGAATTATCCCTGTCAGCAGTTCCTTCTTTATACTCTTCTTTCTGTGTAAATGTTGAATTATCCCTCATTTGATGTTGCCCTTGTTGTAAGCCATCTTTTCCCGTGAATGAAGAATTACTCTTTACCTCTGTAATATTATCGGTTGAAAAACATCCTAGAGTCGAGTTATTAAATTCCTGGTTACTCACATCATTACTGATTCTAGTATCCAGCAACTTTGGATCACTAAATTCCAAAGGTTGAGGGTTTAATTCATTTTTCTCAGAATGAGAGTTGTTTGACAGTACATGATTTAGAGTACTGTCTGATGTGCTGTATTTGTTGTACTCAGCTTCTCGCTCAGTAAGCACATGGGAAGTGCTATCAACTTGTTGAAGAAGATTTCTTTCTGAGCGCTGTTTATCGATACTTTGGTTAAGTGGTTCAGATTTATCACTTATCTTATCCTCTATATTCAATTTTCTTTGACTTGTGTTTTGATTAAGATTTCCTCCTTCGAAGTCTTTGTTAAAATTACTCAAGTCATCTGAAAATGGCTTTCCATTATTTCCTTCCCCTTTGTTATTATACACGGTCATATTGTATACATTAGAAATATTACTGGAGGAAAAATGAATATTTTCACTTTGGGACTTGTGGTCCCTCGACATTTCATTTGGAGATTGTGTTTGATCCAAAAGTGGTTTAGCCGTGTCAGGGGAGTTGTTTTGGAGAATTTTCGGACTATATTCTTCTTTGACATGGAATGTTTCTGTGTAATAGCATTTATTAGACAAACCAGAATGTCTTTCACTTGGTTTTTCACAATATCTGTTTCTCACTTGTGCTATCTCCTTGTCATCTGAAGCCTGAATTTGAAATCCGTCTCCTATTGGTGGTTCTTTGTGATATCTAGTATCAAAGACTGAATTTTCCGCAACTGGCTGTTGATATTTATATTCATGATAATCATTAATTGGAGGCACCTTCTGGTGGTTTGCTTCGCTAGCGATGAGAAGAGGTGCCCCCGGATGCGCTAAAAAATTATTACTGTCATTTTCCTTTTGAATCAGGGGCTCATTGTTGTGGTCCTTCACCTTAGTCACAAATCTTTCTTCGATAACACGCGTTTCACGAATAATTTCCTGACTTGTATTTCGGGGGTGAACATTATTCGTAAAATAATTCTGATTTTCTAAAACAGTGATGTTTTGATCGTTTGATGGATCCCCAGTGGTAGTAAGATATGGTTCACCATCTCTGTTTATTTTATTAGAATCTTCATGATTTCTTTGCTCGGAGTAGTTTTCAGAGTGCAGTCTACCATTTTCTTGGCTTATTCTACTTGTGCTTCCCGCGTTTTTCGTAGAATGGACTATATTATGCTGGTTATTTTGTTGGTTTAGTTCTGCTTCATTATTAGAATATTTGTATTCCGTAATTATTTCCCGCCGAGTCGTATTGTGGTTAACTAAAGCTTCATTTCTACGTTCTTCATCTGTTAATGATATGTGATGACTGTTGTCTGAAGCTGATATACCAATATTGGTTCTCTGGTTATAGTGGGACTGATGGACACCCGGTTGTTTTTCATATGTTATGATTTCCTTTCGGGTCGTATTGTGATTAACTGAAGCTTCATTTCTATGTTCTTCATCTGTTAATGGTATGTGATGACTGTTCCATATAACAGTCATCACATACCATTAACAGATGAAGAACGTAGAAATGAAGCTTCAGTTAATCACAATACGACCCGAAAGGAAATCATAACATATGAAAAACAACCGGGTGTCCATCAGTCCCACTATAACCAGAGAATCAATACTAGGATATTAGATCCACAACCATTAACAGATGAAGAACGTAGAAATGAAGCTTCAGTTAACAGGTGACGTCTGTTTTCTGGAGCTGATATACCAATATTGGTTCTCTGGCTATAGTGGGACTTATGGACACCTGGTGGTTCTCCTTTTAATCTGTGATAGATCACTTTAAATTTTTCTTGTGGCTCTTTAAGGTGATATAAATCTCCTGGTTCTTCTGCTACTTGAAAATTGTTTTGGACAACAGAATCAATTTGGTTTTTTCCGTTCTCTTCAGATCTTTTGACCCATCGTTCCTTAATTTCCCATTGATTTTTCAAGGGAGAGTCCTCTTCTTGTCTTACCTGCCCTCTAGAATACTCTTCTGGTACAGTAAAGTTCCCAGCCCAAGCTACATGTGGTCTGTTATATTGCCGGTCTCTATTTGTTATGTACACATCACCGTTGGTTCTGTGGTATCTTGAAAACTTTAGCTGTTGATCCCTAGGATCAGAGTGGAATGAGTCATCCCACTGTAAGATCTTTCTGCGTTGACGTGGGGTGAACGTGACGTTATAAGATCGAGAATCCCTTTGTTCATGTCTCTCCCTGATTAGATCTTGCTCACTAACACTGAGAAGAGCTTCTTCATTGTCAGGTTCACCATTTCTTTCTCTGAACCTTACAGTTTGAATATCAGGGTCATGGATTGGGCTTCTTATATAAAGAATTTCTGTTCTTCCTGGACCGGCGTCTCGCCTTTCATCTTCAATATTTCGAATATCATCCAGTTCGTCTGTTTTGTATCTTTCTCGTTTCTCTGCGTTTCTCCAGCGCTCGTCCCTCATGTTTCTGCGCACCACGTAGTAGTTTCTTACCTGATGATCGGTGGCGCCATCTCTTGGCAGATCATCAGTTCTTATCCACTCTTCTGGCGAGACTGCATTTTTTTTTCGATATATCCATTCCCGTCTGTAGTTTCGGTGGTCATACCCACGATGACCAATGTCCATGCCATCTCGTAGATAAGCTTCCCGTGGTGACCTTTTCACTCTTCTCAATTCAGCTTCCACATATTCCGCATCTTTTCCATCTACTCTCTGTTCATCATAGTTGGAAGAGTTACCGAATTTCAAATAACGGACTTCATCTTCATGCCATGCTTCTTTCCTGAGAGTGCTGACACAATATGTGAAGAAAAGAAAATATTGTAAAGATGAAAACACAAGCAACTCGTGTAGTTTATTTCACTTAAAGTATAAAGTAAAAACAGTATAAATTTTCAAACAGACAAATAAAATAATTGTCAAAGGCAAATTGTATAATAATAAGATTGTCAGCCTATATTACTGTAAAATAATTGGTCAAACAATAACAGATTCCTTCATTTTTTTATAACCAATACAAAAAATATATACGTATAGTTAAATCTGAAAATAAACTTCCGGATAAGAGATCGTTGATGTTAGACACGACAATTTTTTAAATAAAATAAACAGGACATTTTGTGAGATTCCGGGTAATATCAAATGTCCTATTTATTGTATGGTCTTAAGTTTTATTTCTGGTCATATTTTTAGGAAAGAAATAATCGGAATGAATTTAAGTTTAAATGAATTTGTTTTGAATATCGCACAAAGTTACACAAGGGCTTTGCTCTGCCCACCACGGCTATCGAAACCCGGTTTCTGGTGTTCTAAATCCGCAGACATACCGCTGTGCCACTAGGAGGCTATGTGGGGAGAAAACAAGAAAACCTATTTTCTAACGTCCTATTATTGCAGATATTACATTTGGAAAAGGGCCCAGCGTGGCCAGGTGGTAAGGGAGCTCGACTCGCAATCTGCGGGTTCGAATCCTCGTCCCACCAAACCTGCTCGCCCTTTCAGCCGTGTAGGCGTTATAATGTGACGGTCAATCCCACTATCCGTTGGTAAAAGAGTAACCCAAGAGTTGGCGGTGGGTGGTGATGACTAGCTGCCTTCCTTCTAGTCTTACACTGTTAAATTAGGGACGGCTAGTGCAGATAGTTCTCGTGTAGCTTTGCGTGAAATCCAAAACAAACAAACCTGATTGAAATATTGGATTTTGTGGATAATTCCCTTATTTTATAACTAAACTCAACGAAAGAGGGCGCTAGGAACTGTTGATTATTTTTTAACCACTTATTAGGTTCTGCCATAGTTACGTATTATAGCGTATCTAATTCAAATTAATCGAACATGCGCATCTGACTGCAGTATTTTATTATCTTCTAGATTGACTTTTTTTTTGCTTAAATAAAGCTTTAAAGCATTGAAGTCGGCGATTTTTTGACCTGCTGTATTAATTAACAATATTCCTCTATTATAGTTTCTTATATATATCCAAAAGTTTACTTTTTTTATGCTGTCCATATAAATAGACACATTCATTCTCTATTTATGCACATTGGAAATATCTGGGAAGAAGGAAAACCCATCTTTTTTTCCCCGTTACTTTGGTTACCCTAAAGTTAAAACGCATTTTACTCCGGATGTTGAAGATAACTTTTGTTATATGTTCCATCTTATAGCTATTTGAATATTAACATACGTAGTTAAAATTATGCTTGAAAAGTCAAATTCATATTTATATAATCAGGCCTCTATGGAGTAAACTATAGTGGCGCCATCTATGTTAAAATAACAAGCTCTAGTAGAACAGTGTATGTTTTCTATAATAATTTTAGATATCAAGCTTTACTAGCTAACACAATAACTAATTATTCTGTACAAATGTACGCCGAGACAGTTTGCTGAAGCACAAAGTTGCACAACTGACTTTCCGCACGGTGCCTAGTGCATGAATTGAATCCCAAATTGTGGTGTTATTTACCCTCAAGTTTACCGCTGAGCCACCAAGGGGCCAAATCGGTACCACCGTACTTCAGAGGATATTGACAAACCAGTCAAGGAATACGACAGAAGGTTACTTCAAGATTTCTGACACTAGTGTTCGTGATGGTGAATATCAAACCATGATGTTTGTAAGTAAAAGTAACTTTGAGAACCAGCAAGAAAATAACAACAACTATCTATTTCTATATATGTGCACCCTTAAACAGCTCTAAAGGATATATATATATATATATATATGTATGTGCACCCTCAAACAGCTCTACCAGATATATATATATATATATATGTGCACCCTCAAAC